CTGAGGTTGGCGCTGTGCACCTCATTGTCGAGACCGACGTCCTCCTGATGGAACAAGCGCTAAATAAACGTGGACCGGATTTCTCCAGGCAGGCTCAAATGATTGACGACCTGAAGCTCCAAATGAACATCGGGTTTGCATCTTGTGATGTAATTCATTGCCGCAGGGAAGCCAACATGCCCGCTCATCATCTTGCTAAGTTAGGTTTATCTCTCCACAACGGAGGAATTCTTGTTTCAGATGTGGATGTTCCAGCTCTTGTAGCTGATGCTGTAATGGCCGATTTAGGCCTAACTGTTGCGTAATAAAGCTATATGCTTGCTCTCAAAAAAATATCAGTAGTCTGATTCCTAGCACTGCTCATCTATAAAAGGCGAAGTATCCAGTGAAAACGTCCATTCAATGAAAACTTGAAAATTTTCCTCCTAGGCCTTCGGATCACGAACGTATGGTATAAATCAGAGGTGGGAATGCCACCAGCCACTTAACCATAGTTTTCCCGAAAACCCCCTACTAACAATACAATAATTAGCTCAATAGAATTTTTTGAGGGTTATATCCCCCTAATTTTTCTCCAGCCGCGAGGACGACCTGGAGGCCTCGGCGATTCAACAACGATTGACTGCGGCGCCGCTCCCCTAGCGACAACTCGGAGGCCGCGACCGCGCTCCGACGCAACTGCGATCCGACACGGACCACACCCTCTGGAGGTGCGGCGTTGGCTCAAGCAACGATGACCCGATAGCCATGATGATGCGCCCGCGCAGTGGTGACCTCTGCGACCCGGCACTGCACCCACACGCGAGGGAGACCAAGTGGCCACAATGATGCATCCATGCGACGGCGACCCGGCGCGGCCCCCACACGAGGAACGGAGGGAGCGAGCAGCCGTGGCGCTGCATCCATGCAACGGCGACCCAGCGGCTTGCTTGCCCTTCAAAACTGCTAATGTTCTGCTGATGTTTGACCGAGAATTTGCTGATGTTTTGCTGTAACTGAATGAATGTGGATGTACAGATAAATCCTAGTTCTTTTGCTGCACGTGAATCAGTGTGGATCTACAAAAAATACTTGAATGAATGTGGATGTACAAGAAATCTTTTCTGTCATTTCAGTCACATGGATAACACAAAAGGATTTTGCTTCTTTTACATCCACGTTCATTCTTCACTGATTGAGCATAGTACTACTGTACTGAAATTCATGTGCTGATGCAATCTCTTTATATATTTGTACATCCACTAATGCCAAGCATGTACTGGTGGTATTTAGAGAGAACTGAAATTCATGAGATAACATTTAGATGGCTAGAATTCAGTGACATGCCATTTATGTACTGGTGGTTAACATCTTCAGTCTTGATAAATTTTGAGTTTACTAAGCCATCTGCTACAATCAATAGGAATCGGCATTAACCAATTAACCTCTTGTGGCTTACTACCTTGTCTAATTCTAGCTACTAAAAAGAAACAGTTTGCCATGAGAAGCAATATTCTTGCACATCTATTCAGAGATACAAGGCCATCTAAAATGCATCCAACAAGTGAGATTCAGTACAAATATTCAGAGATAAAATGATAATCCCCTGGCAAAATGTCGAAACAATTACAAGTGCCCATGAGCTTCAGTACAAATATTCAGAGATAAAAGGCCATCTAAAATCCATCCAACACATGAGTTTCAGTACAAATATTTAGAGATAAAATGATAGTGTCGGCACAAGTACCAATGAGCTTCAATACAAATATTCACAGATACAAGGCCATCTACGTTGTCATTCAAGACTGCATCATAATCCTAGCAAATGATAATCTTCTAGTAAAATACATGTGTCAGCCTATTATCATCACCAATAACATACTCAAGAAGAACCCCGAGTTGATTTTCTTCCCCTTCCAATGGTTGTCAGTTAACATTTGAGCATCAGAATCATGGTTGGGGCTGGCGAGGGCGGGGGATCACGGCCGGCGGAGGGCGAGCGCTCCTGGACGGAACCGTCGGAGGGCGAGGAAGAGTGCTCAAGGACGGGGCCGTTGGAGAGCTAGGGCACATGTCCGCCGGAGGGCCAGCACACATGGCGATCCAAGCGGGACGAGGCTCCATGGCGGCACAGATCGAACATGATCTGGTTTCCTTTTTTTTCAGCCCTTGCCAAGCTACACGTACGAGCAGGGGTTTTTTCGGAAAATTGTGGTTAATTGGCTGGTGGGATTCCACCTCTGATCTATACCATATATTCACCATCCGATGGCTCATGAGGAAAGTTTTCAAGTTTTCACCAAATTGGCATTTTCACTCGATACTTCGCCTCTATAAAAGGTTTTATATTTAGGAACAAAGCAAGTACAAATAAAGCCGGGCAAATAAAAATCTTTATGTTTATTTTATCTAATCTAATAATAAAGTAAATTGGGTTTCTTTCGTCCGTCATGACATTTTTCAGAAAAGTCCCTTTATTTCAGAGAATTCAACCCGCAGTCCTGTTTTAAGTTAAAACAAATCGTTATTTTTGTATTTTACACAAAAGTCCCTGTCTTTTTTTGAAATCAACCCTCCGTCCGGATTTAAGTCACACCCGGACCGTTATTTTAAATTTTTTGAAAACCCCCCTGATGTTTTAGGTAATTCATCCACAGATCATATTTAACTCAAACAAATGCTTTTTAAAATCATCCATATCTTTTAAAACGTAACTCCGATTTGACCATGTTATATATGAAATTTGATTAGAAAAATATGTAGAATATGAATATGAGATTATTTTTACCTGTTAAGTATTTTTAGATATTATTTTGGAATATATTTTAGTCAAACCAAATGATTTTTTAAATTATCTGTATCTTTTAAACCGTAACTTCGATTTTAACATATTATATATGAAATTTTATTAGCAAAATGTGTGGAATCTAAATATGATGTTAATTTTACCTATTGATTTTTTTAAAATATTGTTATGGAAGCAAACTTATAATTTATAGCATAAGATTCTTTTTTTTCACACCGACAACGATCCGGATTGCAAATAAACACCCCACTATAACCATATACGAAAAAAACATCGATAACTACACATGCATACCTCTAAAAAATGTAGCAGGGGAAAACAACATATTTCTCATCGGGAGAGTGAGACAAAGCGGGCGAGAGAGAGAGAGAGAGAGGAAGAGAGAGAGGGAGAGGGAGAAGAGATGGAGAGAGAGATGCCTTAGGATTAACCATATTCAACACACGTTTTTTGTTGTTTTATGTGAACACCAAGGCCATCGACGGCGAGGGTGAGAAGGAGGATAAGCGGCAACACAAATATGATGCCTTGCAAAAATAAAGGAGATGGACCTATTATGATCTTGAGTGATGGTTGTTGAGTTAAGAGCGTGTATTATGTTTTCTCTTATGTTACAATGCACAGGGTCTTTTGCTAGTAAATCTAAATCGTCAACAGGGCCCATTGTGGGCCAAACGCAGTTAATCGGGTCACCTTCCCCTGACCCTTTGTTCGCCATCCTGTCGCCTGTTCTGGCCTGTCGCCGTCCGTCTTCCCCGCTGCAAGGACGTCCTCACCCCACTCCACCAGCCTCCAAGATCCACACGTTTGGAGATGTCTCGCCGCAAGGAGAGACAGAGACTAGGCGTCGCGATGGTACAGAAGGGGCGCGGCCTTAGTGGGAGGAGCGGGCGCTCCTCTGCCGCTGCTCATCGACGGCACTGGTGGCTGCACTTCCGCCGCTAGGTGGTCTTCTCCTCACACGGATTGGTTTCGGCAGCAGGTTCGAGTGATTCCAGCGGCCTAGTTCATCTATGGCCATTTGGGTTAGTCTCTTCAGCTTTGCTTAATGAAAGTTCAGTGGTCAGCGGCCTAGCACTACTACTTTGGCAAAGCCTAGATTAGAACTATTCAGGAGAGTTCCTAAATTTTTTAGGTGGATGTCTTGAATTCTGTTCTTCTGGATTCTTGTTGACGGGATGGGAATGCATTGAATTCTAACAAAACAATATAGGCCACAAAGTTAAAAAAGTACTCCTACATTGTAGGTTCCCACAAATCAATCATATATGCAGCAACAAAATAATGTTGGTTTACAAGATAGATAGATCAACAGTTGGAGAAGTTGTTACTTCGAATGGGGTTGCTTACTCTCTCCCCTTAGTGACGGTCATAGAAATCGATTGGTGGACATGCCCTAAGCTATAGGCTGAAAAGGAGGAGCCGCAATCACTACCTCTGAAAGTCATTTCAGACCATCCTCTACCATATTCCAAACGGACGAGGATCCTCTGATGTACGGCAGCCTGCCGTTCTGTCACTGACATGTGGGCCTTTTGGGAACCTGGCCCACATGTCAGTGGCCCAACGGCACGTAGCGCACGGCAGAGGAGCGTCCTCCATTCCAAACGAATGTAACTTCTGGATATACATTTCCTCTGTTTGAACTGCATTAATTGCATTCACCGTCAGCGTAGCTAGCCGTTGAAGATATGTCATTTGCACACATAAACGTCAAGCTGTCCATGTCGAATACAGTCAACAATGCAATTATGTTCACTTCCTGTTGACGCATGGAAAACCAAGCAATAATCAACGTCCACGTGACAAGCATTGATATTCTATTCTTCTTTTGAGTGGAATCATCACAGAGAACCAGTCACAATGATCTGAAACCGAAAATCTTAGACCGCATCAATCGCAGAACATTATGCCAGCCAGATTGGACTCAGCCAAGGTCTTCGATGCAGGTGAGAGGCAAGTGCATAGGTGTGTTAGGCTGCTTCAAATGTGTTTATAAACCCCTGGAGAACCGAGCCAGATGAGTACCCAACTCACACACCACCATCACCGGGTTTTGGCGTTCTGCTCTCACACACCGGAGGTGCGCTATTCTCTCTATCTCCTTGACCATATTTTTTCGCCTGTGTGTGTCTTTCTGCCAGACTTGTGGGACTACTTCAGTTTACATGATCACTTGGCCTATGCAGTCATCTTCATAGTACATCGTGAGATCATGGCGAATTCCATGGTGCCAACGCTGCTACATCGCCTGGTTCTCGTGTTGCTCCTCCTGCTGCTGCCTGTCCTTAATTCCGGGCAAGCCGAGGGCTGCGCCACGCCTGCAGCAGCAGCACGCCGCGGCACTTCGCTGAGATCCCAAGCTGGGGCACTTCTCCACTGGAAATCATCCGTCAAGTACTCGTCCAAGCACCAGCTGGGAACCTGGGGAGACGATGGCATGTACCCGTGCAACTGGACCGGCATCACCTGCGGGGACACTCTGTCACGCAGAGGAACCATGGGGAAGGTCATCACAGGAATTTCCCTTGATGGCGCCGGCATTGCAGGGCGACTGGACAAACTGAGATTCCAGTCGCTCCCTTACCTTGTCAACCTCGATCTCAGTGACAACTACCATCTCTCCGGTGCCATCCCTCCAGGCATCGGCTCTCTTTCCATGCTTTCCACCCTCAACTTCTCTGGTGATCAGCTCAGCGGGCACATACCTGCATCATTCTGCAACCTTGGACAGCTCACAGGGATGGACCTCTCCAGCAACAATCTCACCGGACAAATCCCTCCTGCTTTAGGTAATCTCTCAAGACTTGGTTTTCTTTATCTACGTGGGAATAGGCTCTCAGGTAACATCCCCTGGCACCTCGGACAGCTTCAGAACATGAGAGAGATGGATTTGAGCCTTAATGACATTTCTGGCCATGTACCTTCCGCCCTTGCAAACCTGACCAACCTCAACTATCTGGACCTTTCTGATAATCGTCTGTCAGGACCCATACCTAAAGAGCTAGGACACATCCAAACCCTGCAAGTACTACACTTGGAGAAAAACAATCTGAGCGGCACAATTCCGCCCTCCCTTGGTAACCTGACAGTGCTCACATACCTGACGGCATATAGGAACCAATACACTGGTACAATACCGGCAGAGTTTGGGATGCTCTCGAGCTTGATTAGCTTGGACTTGTCAGATAACCATTTGACCGGCCCTGTTCCTTATAGTGTTGCTGGAAATCTTACTTCAGTGACCTATTTTTCTCTTTTTGGTAACCACATAACCGGATCCATCCCTCATGAGTTTGGGAATCTCGTGAATCTGGAAACCCTTGCCCTCTCGGACAATTTGATAGTTGGATCAGTGCCATCAAGTATTGGGAACATGTCTTCACTCAAACAATTAATAATACATAACAATAGTATCTCCGGGGAATTGCCGACCGAGTTAGGAAATTTGGTAAATTTGGAGTATCTTATGTCCTATGAAAACCAATTGTCTGGCTCAATCCCTCCAAGTTATGGAAAATTGGTCAAGATGACACAAATGCGACTGTTCAACAACCAGCTCTCCGGCCCTGTGCCTCCGGCATTGTCCAACCTTACCAATTTAGTCGTCATTGCTCAACCCGGCAGTTTGACCCATGGGTTTGGTCGCCCATGGGTACCCGACCCGAATGGGTAGGGTATGGGTCACGGTATTCGCCCATGGGTCTTACCCACGGGTAACCCGATTAATCGTGGGTAGGGTATGGGCATAGGTTCGTGCCCGTGGGTTACCCGATGGGTCGCCCGATTAGTATATTAATAATTAAATACATGTCTGTGTGCTACTTTCTATTTATCTAACAAATAGGTTGTCTATCTCTATTTGTCTAACAAATATGTAGAATACTGTGATATCACCATGCCTTCTAAGCATCCTAGGTCCACCATCCCTACGACCCTACCACGTTGAAGCCCACGTCATGTGGCCATGACAGATTGGCAGCAGCCCATAATGCCCATTTACAACTTTCCCAACTACCGAATTTGTGATTACAAAATTGTGAAAGACCGTGAGACATATGTAGCAGGCCCATGGGCTAGCCAGCCCATGTTAATTCCTGCTACCTACAGTCGCAGCAAATAGCACAAACAAGGTAGTTTTAGTACCACCTCGCCAACTCGGTGAGATTCAAGTAGGAGCACCGCTATAAATTAAAGGAGGCTTCGGGGAGGCTGAAGTTCCAACCTGTGATCAACCCCGCACTGCACGTTGGTGCAGTTCAGACCCGATGGGTGCCCGATTGGGTCGGGTCACCCGATGGGTTTGGGCATGGGTCTGGAATCAAACCCATGGGTAGTGTCATGGGTGGATGATCGACCCGATTAGTATTTGGGCATGGGTTTGGTAGATGTCGACCCGACCGAACCCGACCCGATTGCCAGGTTGAGTCATTGCACTGGATGACAACCAGCTGATTGGACACTTGCCAGATTTGTGCCAAAGTAAAAAGCTACAGGTTTTACAAGTTCATAACAACAATCTAGATGGTCCTGTCCCAAAAGGCTTGAGGGATTGCAGTTCACTAACATCGCTCATGATTGCCAATAATCATATTGAGGGAGACATAACTGAAGCATTTGGTGTGTATCCACACCTCGATACGATCAATTTATCTTCAAATAGGTTTGTTGGGCAGCTCTCGCCGAATTGGGGCTCATCTCAAAACTTGACAAGTATTAATTTTGCACACAACATGATACAAGGCAGTATACCTTCTGTGGTTGGGGTGCTAAAAAATCTTGGAAAGCTTAAACTGAGTTTCAATAGGTTGACCAGTGAGATACCACCGGAAATTGGCAAGTTAAGCAACCTCTATTGGATGGATTTAAGAAACAATCAACTATCTGGCCAGATCCCTAAGCAAATCGGCCAACTTAGCAATCTTGAGATTCTTGATTTCTCAAGCAACCTGTTGAGCGGTAAAGTGCCAGAAGAGATGGGAAATTGTTTGAAACTGCAGTCATTACACATGAATAACAACAGCCTTAGTGGAATTCTTCCTGGTAGTTTGGGCCATTTAGCTTCCCTGCAAAGAATGCTTGATCTTAGCATGAATAGTATCAGTGGACCAATACCGTCAGAACTCAGCAACCTAGAGATGCTGATGTATGTAAACTTCTCACACAATCAATTCAGTGGTGCTCCCTGCCTCCATTGCAAGCATGCAAAGCCTATCAATATTTGATGTTGCATATAACCTCCTAGAAGGCACTGTCCCAAATGGGATCCAGAATGCATCAGCTGAATGGTTTCTCCACAACAAAGGTCTTTGCGGAGACCTTGTTGGACTGTCTCCTTGTGATTTGCCCCCTGCAGATCATAGGCGAAAGCACCAAAAGATTATACTACCAGTCAGTCTTACTATGTTTGTCGCTACTATTTCAATAACAGCAGGTGTGATTGCCTTTATGATTTGCCGCAAGAAAGTACCTCAAAATACTGATGTCGTGCGCAAAAGGGATGTGTTCTCTGTATGGAGCTTTGATGGCAGAATAGCATTTGAAGATATTATCAATGCAACTGACAATTTCGATAAGAAACATTGCATTGGAGAGGGATCATACGGCAGTGTTTATAAAGCAGAACTTCAAGATGAACAAGTGGTCGCAGTAAAGAAACTCCATGCAGGCGATGAAGAGGCACATGATGAAGAAAGATTCCGGCATGAGATTCAAATGTTAACAACAATTCGCCAACGCAGCATCGTCAAGCTATATGGATATTGTTCTCATCCGCGGTTCCGGTTCCTTGTGTGCCAGTATATAGAGAGAGGAAATCTAGCTTCAACCTTAAGAAATGAAGAACTAGCAATCCAGTTCCACTGGCAAAGGAGGACAGCTTTAATAAGAGATCTGGCTCAAGCCATCGCTTACCTCCATCATGATGTTCACCCACCCATAATTCATCGAGACATCACAAGCAGAAACATCTTACTAGATACTGATTTCAAAGCATTTGTCTTGGACTTCGGTATTGCAAGAATGTTAAAACCTGATTCGTCAAACTGGAGTGCACTAGCAGGGACCCACGGCTACATAGCACCTGGTATGTTTATTCCATGCAATACTATATTCTCTAGTATACTGTGTTAGATGGAATGCTCTGCACTGATGCATACTCTTGATTCTTATGTTCCTGTGTTGGATGCAGAATGTTCCTACACTTCCCTAATTACAGAGAAATGTGATGTATATAGCTTTGGCGTTGTGGTGCTTGAGGTGTTGATGGGCAAACACCCTGGAGATTTGCAGGCTTTTCATTCTTCACTCGAGGACCAGTTTCTACTGGAAGAAATTTTGGACAAACGACTTCCACAACCCGAAGCTGGAGAGGAAGAAGTGAGACGGTGCATCTCTGTGGCATTTGAGTGCCTAACTCCTTCACCCAAAGAAAGGCCAACTATGCTGAAAGTTTATCGAGATCTTTCCATCTGAAGTCACATGTTAAATTCTTCCAGATGTAGCATCTTAGCCTTGTTTAGTACTGAATAAAACTTAGGCTAACTGTTAGAATAAATCCGAGGCATACCATTGATCATCCGAGGACCAAGCAATCACACGAGCACGACACCGAGATTTGTTAACGAGGTTCACCGATATGGCTATATCCTCGAAGCTTGCCTACGGGCGCTCCTCCCCGTGACACCGTCACAATACCGCACCCGGTCGCCCTGGACATCGGCACATGCCGCCGGCTTTCCCTGCGTTCCGGTGCTATTATGTTGGCATAGGTTACATCGTGTGTCTACCCCGCTATATATGAGAGGCCTAGGATACAAGTGTCTTACTTGGACACTACTCCATATCCTGTCTACACACCGTACGACTCCAAATCCAACTGTAACCTAACTTGTACAATAATATTCGACACAACTTTAACAAACTCCACCTTGACGAATATTCTCCACCACCTTGAATTCGTCCGTGCGTCAAACCTTCGTGTACATTGGACTTGAGCTTATCCCATGAGTACCGCTGCTACTCCATATGACTCCACCTGCAACTTGTAGTCCCTTCTTTTCTTGACCAGAGTCAACACTCGAACGAAATTAATTTTCACATTACTCTAGTTTGCGCTTCCAACTTTCAGAGTATCAGTCCAACGCCATCACACACTGATCACTAACCTGCGTGAAATTGAACAACTCACATATTGGGTGTCACACATAAGAGTTACCTGAACTCAACATCACCGCTCTTTTCTTGACCGCATGTCTGAAACTTGAAGGAATTTCACCGTTGCTTGTAGTCATCCCGAGTCAAATTCGCAGTTGTCTCACCACATGTATGACCACCAGAGCCCTGGTCCGTCTTCATGTCTCGTGCGCACCGCACGCCTCACCGCTATTACCACGTCGAGCCTCCGCTATCCCGGTCAAGTCTCAAGGGTCGTGAAACCACACCACTCAACCTCCACTGCAGAGTACCACCGATCATCACCGACCGATGACGAGTTTCACACTTTCATCAGACCACTAAGCTCCAGTCCGAACTGCATGTCACTCGCTTTTCCCCCTTACTGAATAGGCTTCGATTCCTTGGATCCTTACATCGTAGCCCCTCAATCCAGCTCCACCTTCAACATGATTTCATGGTAGATGATCAGTCCACCCCCACGCCCCGTCGACTTCAAACTCACATGTGCACCGTCTTGGATTAACCCCGCGCCATAGTCTTGTCGAAGCCACACAAGCCCTCGGGCCTGTGCCACGTGTTTTCACGCCCCAGAAGTCGGTCACCATCAACATCACGCTCCTATATCGTTGTCGCCGATCCCGCACCGTCTTCTGTACCAACCGACTTGCATCGATCCCGTCAGACTGTCCAGTCCGACCCAGGTTCCCAAATCATTCTGCGAATTCCCATCCATCACATGATAACTCCATCTCAGCTGACATGACTTCCCGCAATGCTTTCAAGCATCCATGTTGTGCCAATAAATATTTCACCATTGTTTGCCATAACCCAAGGCTTTCGGTTTCATCAAACTTCTCCACCTCAAACCTGATACCCGTTGATGCCATGGTTCTTTGTACAGCTGACTTTGCGCAAAATTATTTGAGCTTTCCACGAGATGCCCCAAGCACACGAACAGAACCTCCGCGTACTACTAGTAGCAAAACCAAAAGAAATAAAATCTTTGCCCTTCACGTGGTGGCTCCCTTGCACAAAACATGCAATGCTAGCTTTGCCTTGCCATGACCTTCTTGCTTTCCAATGGATGTGTCACCATGATGCATTTTCTCACGCACGAATCTAATCGGCTGCCTTGCCTCGTCTTCCCTACAGCCGCTGCTGCTTTCAACGTGCGCGTGCACGGCTGCAGCCGCCCGGCTCGGAGGCTAGGAGATCACGTCTCCTCTTGGGACTCGGTCCCTCTTTTTTTTTTCTCAAACAAAATCTTTCGTGTCTTTGCCCAGCCTGCTCCAGATCGATTAGTTCGCAGCTTCCGCTTCGCACGCGTCTAGCCTGGGGACTCCAGCAGCGTGGTTTGCACTTGCCGCATCCGAGCTGTGCCCCGCCGGCCTACTCGGACCCGCACCCAGACGAGGCCATCGCCTCGCGTTGATTGGGTCATGTGGGCCTGCTCCAGGCAGTGCTCTAGCCCTGCCGCCGCCACGCACCTGCTGCCCCAATCGCTGTCAAGCCGCGTGTGCACGCCGCGCAGCTTCCATCGATCTGCTGCGCCGCTTCGATCGCTTTTTTTCAATCTTGTCAAGAACTACACCGCAGCCGGCTGCATCTCAACTCGATACTTCCTCTAGATCAACAACAACCGCGACCTCCTTTGAACCTTGCTCATGATACCACTTGTTAGAATAAATCCGAGGCATACCATTGATCATCCGAGGACCAAGCAATCACACGAGCACGACACCGAGATTTGTTAACGAGGTTCACCGATATAGCTACATCCCCGGAGCTTGCCTACGGGCGCTCCTCCCCGTGACACCGTCACAATACCGCACCCGGTCGCCCTGAACACCGGCACATGCCGCCGGCTTCCCCTGCATTCCGGTGCTATTATGTTGGCATAGGTTATATCGTGTGTCTACCCCGCTATATATGAGAGGCCTAGGATACAAGTGTCCTACTTGAACACGACTCCATATCCTGTCTACACACCGTACGACTCCAAGTCCAACTGTAACCTAACTTGTACAATAATATTCGACACAACTTTAACACTAACTTAGCTGTCCAAGCATTTTCAAACCGAATAAATTATACAGCGTAACTTCATCTCGAACTTAGCCATGGATATACAGTGTAACATCGTGACCCATATATGTCTGTTGGGTCACGATGTTACACTGTATAATTGTTCTTTCGATGATCATACAGATCATGGATCAAGGTTATGATAATATTTTCAGAGTAGGTTCGAAGTGATGATAATAGTCTCATATGTGTTCGACACTCTGAACTTCTGTTATCTCTGCTATTTCTTCGTACAATGCCCTGTCCGCGGGCATGAAGGCGTTCCCTGTGGAGGAGGAGCTCTGGAGCTCGCGAGCTCCACTATCTTGTCGCTCCTTCGCGTGGCTGTCGATTAGGAATATGTGCTGATAGTCCGACAGATAAGCATGACGGGGTTTGCCACGTCGGGCGCCATGCCGACCAGTGCGAGGAGTCAATTGACCATATCCTCCTCGGCTGTGACGCTGTGTCTATGCGTGTGCCCTGTGCGCTCTTTGAGGCAGTCCAGGTTCAACAACTTGGATTTGAAATTTAAGACATTTCAGACCATCTTGTACCATATTCCAGCGGACGTCAGTTGATAATAGATATGTATTTCCCTCTACTTGAACTGTACTCATCGTGTTCAACATCAGTGCCGTGGAAGACATGGCAATTGCACATACTTGAACTGTACCCATATCGGCACGATATTGTTTTGAACCGACTGAGAGCATGATGGGAAAACGTCCAGGAGATATGCATGCTTTTAATTCTTCACGCAAGGACCAATTTCCTCCAAAAGATAATCCAATATTGATGAGGCAACAGACGTGAAACAATGGAATAAATTACACAAAACCATCACTTTAAAGGCTAAGTTTGCGAAAAACACTATAATACTTTTTTTCTTTTGCAGAAACCACCACGTCTACGGTAATTTTTTTGCAAAAAACACTGATCGGCATATTAGTCTCGTTTGAGCATGTTTATGACAAATGAGACC